TGAGGTCCCCTGAGGTGTTTTGGGGGTCCTTGGGGCAGTTTTGTGGCCCTGGGGCAACTTGGTGGTCCCCTGGGGAAGTTTCAGAGTTCCCTGGGGAAATCTAGGGTCCCCTGGGCCAGTTTGGGGGTCCTTGGGGTGACTTCAGGGTCCCCCTGGGAACATTTTTGGGGGCTTTGGGGTGGCTCTGAGGTCCCCTGGGGAATTTTTTCGTCCCCACAGGCAAATTGAGAGTCCCCTGGGGCAGTTTTGGTGTTCCCTGTGGCAATTTATGGGTCTTTGGGGTGGTTTTGGGGTCCCCAAGTGGTCATTTATGGGGTCCTTGGGGTGGCTTTGAGGTCCCCTGGGACAGTTTTGAGGACCCTGGGGCATCTTGAGGGTCCCCTGGGGCAATTTGGGTGTTTTCTTGAGGCACTTTTGGGGTCCCCTCAGGCAAATTTTTTGTTAGGGTTAGGGTTTCTGAGTAAGTTAGGGTTAAGTTTAGGATTCCCATTGGTCATTTTGGGTGTCTTTGGGGTGTCTTTGAGGTCCCCTGGAGTAACTTGGGGGTCCCCAGGGGCAAATTGATTATCTACTTGGTTAATTTGGGGGTTATTTTAGCAATTTTGGTGTGTCACTGCATCAGTTTTGAGTTACCCTGGGAATTTTTGAGGCCTTTAGGGCAACCTGGGGATTCTCTGGGGCAACTTGGGGGTCCCCCGGCGAGAACTTGGACGTCCCCTGCTGTCATTTTTGGAGTTATTTGGGCAAGTTTGGGGGTCTATGGATCACTTTTGACGTCCTTGGGGAAGTTTTGTGTTTCCCTGTGGGAACTTTGGGATTTTTGGATTGGCTTTGGGGTCCCGTGGGGGTCCCCTGGGGCAACTTGAAGGTCCCTTGGGGCCACTTGGGGGTCCCCTAGGGTCCTTTGAGGGGGTTTGGGGGGCAATATGGGGGGTCACTGTATCAGTTGGGGGGTCTTTGGAACAGTTTTGGGGTCCCCTGGGGCAACTTGGGAGTCACCTGGGGCAGTGTTGAGGTCCTTGGGGCAACTTTGGAGTTTCCATGGAGTCATGTTTGGGGTCTTTCAGGCGCCTTTGATGTCCTCTCAGGCAGTTTGGAGGACCTCGGGGCAACTTGAGGGTCCCCTGGGATAACTTGGGTGTTTCCTTGGGGCAGTGCTGGGGTCCCCTTGAGCAAATTTGCGTTTGGGTTAGGTTTGGGGTTAGGGTTAAAGTTGGGGTTGGGGTTAGGGTTAAGGGTAGGGTTAAGGGTAGGGCTAGGGTTGTGGGTTACCTTAGGGTTAGGGTTAGGGTGAGTGGTGAGGGTTAAAGTTGAGATTGGGGTTAGGGTTAGGATTTGGATTAAGGGTAGGGTTTGAGTGAGGGTTAGGCTTAGGCTTAGGTTTAGGCTTAGGGTTTGGTTGAGGGTTAATGTTAGGGTTGCGGTTAGGGTTCTCATGTGTCAATTTTGGCATCTTTGGGGTGCCTTTGAGGTCCTCTGGCATAACTTTGGGGTTTCCAGGGGCAAGTTGGGGGTCTGCTGAGGTCATTCTTGGGTTATTTGGGCAATTTGGGGCATCACCGGATCAATTTTGGGGTCCTTGGGGAAGTTTTGGTGTACCCTGTGGCAGTTCTGGAGTCCTTGGGAAAACTTGAGGGTCGCCTGGAGGTTCCCTGGGCAAGTGCCGGTGTCCCCTGGAGCAGTTTGTATAAAAAAGCTGCACTGATTGCTAACGGGCGGAACTCTTTGTCCAGGGCGGCCTGGAGAGTTCCCCAACGCGTTGCTAATCAATACCTCCTGCTTATGGACTTGAAAACTGAGTCTCTGAGCAGTTTCTATCTCACCTTTTGGGGCAAATTCGGCATCATGGGTCTGTGCTGTGCATGGGGAGCAGCTGAGGACTACAGCCATGGCCTGGGGGCTGAATCCCTTCCCTCAGCAATGGCAAATGAGATCATTCTCTGGCCCTGTCTCAAGAGAGGTGAGAATCTCAATGAGAAGGTGATTCCTGGACCTTTTAATCTTTTTCTAATGGGAGAAATGACACTGCAGAAAGAAGAGTCTCTTCCCAGCGGAGGAAAGGAACATCAGCAATGACTTCACCCTGTTTCACAGCAGGTTCCCCTGGAGCCCCAGGGACACCTCCAGGGATTCCAGAGGGGACAGAAAAAGTGATGCCGTGGATGGGCCCCTGCTTGGGGGGCTCCTGGGATGGAGGGAGCTCCTGGCCATGGGGCAGCACGGCAGAGAGACAGCTCTGCCCAGGAGCAGCTCCTCTGCCAAGCACAGCAGGGCTGGGAGCACTGCCTGCAGGCAGGGAGAGGAAACCTGTGAGGCCAGGAGAGCTTAAAAGCATTCAGGAATGGGAGAAAGCTCTCTATGGGAGAAACCTTCACAGCCTTAGACTTGTTAAGTACCTGGCTGCAGGGCATTGACTCTGCAGTTGCTGGAGGGATCTCCAGAAGCTGCACAACCCACCGCCCATGGGATCTGTAAGTACAACTCTCACAGTTTCTCTAGTGCAGAAGAGAAAGAGAATGTGTGGAGCAGGGCTTCCCTGCTGCAGGGGCAGAGGGACAGGGCATGACGTGTCTCTCTGGTGCAGTATAATGCAGAGGGGTTTCCTGGAGCAGTCTCCTGAAGCTGGCATAGCCCATGTCTGAAGTGATCTGTCAGGAGGGCTCTCCAAAATCCACTGGTGTTTTAAAGGTTGTTCTCAAGAGCAGGGCATCCCCACCACATCATCAAAGGGCCAGGACATGTGGGCTGCCTTCTCCCAGGGCTGGCTGCAGGGCTGTGAAGGTGGGGGTGCAGCCAGGGGGGCCCAGGGCTGTCCTTCTGAGCAAGGTCAGCTCTCAGCCTGCCCGGGGAGATCCCCGCGGTGCTGTGGGGAGAAGCTGTGGGTGGAAGGAACAACCCCTGGAAATGCCAGGGCTGCCAAGAGGCTGCTGCTTCAGCCAGGTTTGCTCACAGCTCCAGTTTAGCCCCATTTCAGCGGGGACTTTCCAGAAGAACATCAAGACAGCATTTTCCTGAAAGGCGAGGAGTCTTTGCTTTGAACTTTTATCATGATGGTTGGCTGGGTGGGCAGTGGGAGACTGGAATTTCTTTCTCTGCTCTGGAGACCCCAGTTGTAGTTGTGACTTTTCTGAGCTGCTCCATAAGCCTTGCGCAGCCAGAGGTGCCCCTGGGCAGTGCCCCGCGGCCAGGAGGGGTCTGCAGGGCAGAGCTGAGCCCCCGGCGGGTGGGATGGGCTCTGGGAACAGGGACAGGAGGAGACCTGGGGACAGAGAGACAGCTCCTGGCAGGGACAGCCCCAGGGAGCAGGGAAGGAGAGGGAGCTGCTCTCAGAAACTACGGGAGGGGGCATTCAGATGCACTTCAGAGACCAAGTCTGGGGTCACTTGGCTAGTGAATTTAGGAATATCAATAATTCAAAGTCAGTGTTTATATGAAAACTTTACGACATCCTTCCTGTTTACTTGTGAGGAAAGAGAACACATTGCTGCCATTTTATGGCTTCTGAAGAGAAATCAGATGCTGTAGAATTTTGAAAGTACTGTATCACATTAAACTTTACAAACACTCCTAGTGGTGTGATTTCTTTATCACTACCTGCCAGAAAAAAATAATTAATAACCAAATAGTTCTTGAGTCCCACAGCATGAGGTAGGAACTCCTCCTCTAATGCAAAGCGGACTTTGTATTTTCGCCTCACTGAAAATGGAAATTTTTGTCTAGCTTTAGCAATACTGGTGCCATTTCCACATTAATGTCAACTATGATTTTACTGCTGACTCTTCAGACCACTGCTGTTCCAATACGATGTTAGAAACACACCAGAGAAGAGTGAACAGAAGAGAATGGTCCACACCAGCACACCCAAGATTGAGCCGTACTCGACCTGTGATCCTGTGTGCTTCGCTTCCCTTTATCCTTGCCCTTGCCCTTGCCCTACGGATTTGTCCACGGGAGTAAAGTGTCCCAATTCCCCTCCTAATCCTGAGGCTCCCAGTGAAACAAATGAGACGACTCTCGCTACTTCCCTTTACCCTTGCCCTTGCCCTACGGATTTGTCCACGGGAGTAAAGTGTCCCAATTCCCCTCCTAATCCTGAGGCTCCCAGTGAAACAAATGAGACGACTCTCGCTTCAGGACGTTTCCAAAGTACTTGCTTCTTTCCCCGCAGAGCCCTGCTGGGTGGCAGGCTGCCCTCCACAAGGGCACAGCTCTCCTGGGCCATAACTGGGTGACAAGGAGCCCCCTGGAGAAGACACCTCAACGCTGACGCCGTGGCGATGCTGCGATGAGCCCGCTGTGACCCTGGCTGGGGGGACAGAGCTGAGACCCTCCTCGGGTAGGATGAGGCAACGTGAGGAGTTTGGAGCTCTGCACTTGGAAATGGGATTCCTCTGCTCTCAGCAGCGTCCACTTCCTTCTCTGGGGAACGTCTGGGGGTGATGGTCCTCCAGCTCCAAGTGCTGCCAGCACAGGGTGGCTGAGACCGGGGCTGATGGACAGAGGGCTGTGCTCAGTCTGCAAAAAGACAACGCCTCTTGGCCTCTGGGGACCCCCAGGATTGCACATGGGGTGCAGCAGAAACAGCAGTGCCAGAAACACTCCTCGGCTTTGGTGGGGCAACGAGAACAAAATACACAAAGCAGAACCCCCTCAGCTGTGCTCTGCAGTCAGGTGGACTGGGAGGGACAACACCGAAAAGATCTTTGGTGTCACAAGTGGATTTAATCTGAGATCACCCCAAGTTCCTATTAGCCTGTTGCTGTAGAGCAGGAACGACTCCTCCAGACCCCACAGCAGAGCCCCCGACCCTGCTCCCTGGGGAACCCTCAGCCAGCACCAACCACAGCTCATGAAAGCGACCTGCCAAAGGTCTTCCTGAAAGAGGAGACGCAGTCTCAGCAGGGTTTCTATGAGAAATGCATTTAGTTTTGTTCAGCCAAGTCTCTTCTAACATGTCACTGTCTCTTCTCTCTTTGACAGCCCCTCGAGCCCAGAGGTAGATGTCCAACAGCAGCTCCATCACCCAGTTCCTCCTCCTGGCATTTGCAGACACACGGGAGCTGCAGCTCTTGCACTTCTGGCTCTTCCTGGGCATCTACCTGGCTGCCCTCCTGGGCAACGGCCTCATCATCACTGCCATCGCCTGTGACCACCGCCTCCACACCCCCATGCACTTCTTCCTCCTCAACCTCTCTGCTCTTGACCTTGGCTCTCTCTCAACCACTTTCCCCAAAGCCATGGCCAATTCTCTGTGGGACACCAGGGACATCTCCTATTCGGGATGTGCTGCCCAGCTCTTTCTCTTCGTTGGCTTGATGTCAACAGAGTTTTATCTTCTGACAGTCATGTCGTACGACCGCTATGTTGCCATCTGCAAACCCCTGCACTACGGGACCCTCCTGGGCAGCCGAGCTTGTGTCCACATGGCAGCAGCTGCCTGGGGCGTTGTTTTTCTCTATGCTCTGATACACACAACCAATACATTGTCACTGCCCCTCTGCTATGGCAATGTCCTGGACCAATTCTTCTGTGAAATCCCCCCGATCCTCAAGCTCTCCTGCTCAGATTCCTACCTCAGAGAAGTTGGGCTCATTGTGGCCGGTGTCGGTTTAGGCTT